GCATAATAGTGAATGAAACAATAAATCTAACTAATAATAATATTTTTTGTTATGATAGACTTTAATTCATGATTCTCACATCATCTTAAGAAGTGAATTTTAAATCTAACTCGATCTTACAAAACCAGTTTATAAGGTGAGATTTGCACCTACTCCTGTAAATTGACCTTATTTTTAATCGATGTAGAACTTCCAACATTAAATAAGAGTAAAATAACAAGTTTGTGATTTTTGTCCTTATTATTATTGTTTATTTTATGTGATAGTTTTTTTTAGGAAAAATAATTGAAAAGACACAACATCAATATTGAGACATGAGTTCAACCCACATATAAGAGATTGACATAATTTCTAATTTAATCTTTATAAGGTTTTCCCTTATGATGCTCAATTTCTTTTCTCTTTTACTCAAATGATACTTAGATTCACTTGAATTTTCAACAGAATGGAAGGTTTGATCAAAAGAAAAAAATTAAACTATAGAAAAAAATAGTGTTGTCAAAATGGGTTAGAACTCACGGACCAACTTAACCCACCATGGATTCGAGCTAGGTTGGGTTTGAAAAAAAATGTTATTTTTTTTATATGGATTAATTTTCAACTCGACCCACTTAGAACCCGACTTACCTGGGTTGAACCCGTGATGAGCGAGGTTGGCTCACCAAACCACCTAGTTTAATTTAACTATTTATTCTTTGTGTTTCAATATTATTTGTTAACACTTTTTTTTTATTGTATTGTAAATGGGGATAAAGAAGATGTTTCTAAGAGAGTAAAATATTATAAATTTATCCATTCAAAACTCTAATCTTATAAATAGACAAGTGACATAAAAATGACTAATATTAGAAACTTATTTTTTCGCTATTTGACTTTGTTTTTGGATTAAATTTGAGTTGTATATTAATTTTTTTATTTTGAGTTGTTTTTGGAATTTAACATCATTTTAGAGTGAAATTTATTTAGATTTAAATTACACAAAATTATAATTTTTTATTTAGAAAAAAAACTTGTAAATATGTGAGTGAGTAAATCAACTCGTTTAACCCCACCAACCTGTGATGAGACGAACCGTATTTGAATTTTTTCAACTTATTAATAAGTGAGCTAGATTGAATTAGCTCATTAAGTGGTCAATCCATGGTGGGCTGAACCAGATAATCCGTTTTGACACCACTAAAAAAAATAAGGGTGTTGCTCCCTCCACCACCACACCTTTCTCCCTCCACCTCCCATTTACTATTTTGCCCCTAAGTAAAATTTTATTTTTAGGATTATTTTTTAATTTTACCCATTCACAACATATTCCATTAATAACCTATTCTAGTGTCCCCGTACATGAGTAAAATATTTTTTTTTCATTTTAACATTATATTTCTTCCTTTCTTTCTTTTACAAGTTGCAAAGGTTGGTGGTGGTGGAAAGAATTATCAAGCAGTCTCCCTCTCGTGGTGCAGTGTGTGGAGTGGTGCAGTGTGTTGCTTCCTCAAGGTGCGTATTCAAATAAACCTTCAAATAAAATCCTAAAATAAAAAACGTAACCTTTAAGGCATCATTCAACGGATGTCAAAATCCTTCAACGGATGTCAAAATCCTTCAACACATGTCAACATCCGTTTAAGGTAAAACGGATGTCGACATCCGTTTTTCCTTAAACGGATGTTGACATATGTTGACATCCGTTGAAGGATGTCACCTCCGTTTAAAAGTTACGCTTTTTATTTTAGGGTTTCTTTTATTAGTTTATTCTTTATTTTGGAAATATTTTAATAATTTAATTTAAATGTTTTGATTTATTATTTTTGAATATATTTTTAATGTATTTTAATAATGTAAAGAAATTGAAGAAGAAAGAAACGGAGGAGGAGAAGTGAAAAGGAGAAGACAGATTGGGTTGCAGAGTAAAAGGAAAGACAAATTATTAAACGAAAATGAGAGATGGAAAGATTGAGTACATGAGTAAAGTAGGAGAACTAGGTTTGAAATAAATTAAAATAGTAAAAGTAAAAAATTTTAATCTGAGGATATAATTGGAATTAAAAAAATTGGAGAGGTGGAGAGAAAAAGGTGTGGTGGTGGAGGGAGCAACACCCAAAAAATAACATTTTTTAGAATTTAAAAGCCCCATTAACATAAATGACTAATGAAAAAAAAATGTCATGAAAACATCACTAGAGAATAACACTACGAGAAATAATATAAAAACAATAAATATAAAAATATAACATAGAAACTCCACAGCCAAAGAAAAACATATGACCATTATTATCTATTGACAACCAACTAAATATTATTATAATGTGAAAAATTTTACATCGCACAAACTCCTCTCTCATGTCTTTTAACTTTAAATACAACAAAAATGCAAACTAAACCTCACAAAATTCTATTATAAAAGTATAAGAAAAGATAAATAGAAAAATGAAATACAAACTTAGTGTGTTTTAATTAAATATTTTCAAAAGATATTATTTTTATCCATCCAACAATAATGACATTAAAGAGGATAAGAATGAGATGTTACCTCTATTGGTAAGTTTTTTATTTGGATAATGTCCTTGGGAAGTTCAATTCATCGATAAATTTCAATAAGGTATTGAAGGACTCTTCCTAAAAGAATTTAAAAGGGTAAAACTATAACTGTGGTACAGGTAATATGTTCTTAAAAAATTTGGGAGTGAAAGATTTATTGTGTATGGAGAGTGCAGACGATAATTTCAAATTAAAATGTTTATGTCTAAGCATTGTTGTCTTAGGGATTTTGGAAATAAGCAAAACCAAAAAAGTACTTGGAGTTGAAGAAAAGTTGCAAACAACTTTCACTACAATCATTAGTAAGAATATGCATGAGATTTTGATTTTATGAAAAGGATATTTCACATACACATTGATGACACCATCATTTTTAGAGATTTGAGGGAAGCAAGACAACAATTTTGAAAGAACAATATAACATCAATTAGTCATGAGTTGTTATGGTGCAACAATAAATTAATTATGCTAATTAATTGTACTATCCTTCTAGAAAGAGTTTCTTAAGTGAGTATGTGTCTACTTTGTTGGTTTCTTTCTAATGATGCTTTTAAATATTTGGTCTTATTTATCAGAGGCTACTATTTCATTACCAAAATTATGTTTTATAAAGTTAGAATAAGTTTAGGTTTTGAAAATTCCTTGACAAAATTTAATTCATTACACTTTGCCACCCCCAATGACAATATACATATCATGAATACCGTAACACATCCTAATTTAGTAAATTTAAGCTCATCTTTTATGTTTTCTAGCTTCACCAAACAAGAGTACGAAGAAGAGGGGATTACGAGAAAGGAATAATGAAGAGACCTGGCAATGAAAAAAAAAAGTATTCAATAAAGTATATAATGAATAGTAATTCAATTTTCAAATTTACATTTTAACTATACAAAACTTAATATTATTATCAAGAAATTCAACATCAAATTACATTAAAAATTATTTTCTCTTTTTTCTCTGTCTCGTGTACTCGTTACATACTACAATAAAATCTCACTCGAGACGACATCGATTCAAATCCAGTTCATAGATATTAAGAAGAGTCTTGAATTTAATATTTAAATATGACAAAAAAAATTATTAAAATAATCTAATGTAACTTATTAAGAACTAAGTACAACTTAAAACTTTAATAATTAAAGATGTATTTCAATATTATCAATTTTCATTCTAATAATACTTTTTTAATATTCTATAACTTGTAAGAAATTAAAATTTTAAAATAAAGATTTTTATAAGATTTCTTCATTGAGATAAAATTTACAAAATTATAATGACTTGTTTAAAAAGTCCTTTAATACTCATTTAAAGTAAAACAAGAATGTATGAATTCTCATAAGATCATGTTGGTATATTGTTTTTTTATTCTTGTATCATATAGTACAAATAACAACTAATTTTAAATAAAATAATAATAATATTTTGCAACAATTTTTTACAATATTTCGATATAACCTGTTTTTTTTATTCGTTCATTATTTATTTGTTATTATACATTAAACCCAATAAAAAATGACATGTGTAAATATGTTATTAAAAAATTTGTGTTAAAATATTATTATCAAAAAAAAGTGATTTATTTTGTTTGAAAATATTCTTTCATTTCAGAATTTGGATTTAGACAATAATGTGTTAACACATATTTTTTTAACAACATTTTAACACAACACACGTGTCATTTTCTCATTGAATTTAGAATACGTCAATACAACAAATAAATAACGAATCAATGATAAAATAACATATATTTGTACGTGAAAATGTTATAAAAAAAAATATGTGACAAAATATATTTTTCCTTTGTATTTATAGAATTGTATACATTCATAGAATTTTTTACACACATTAATTATTTGAACTCCATTTAAACACGTGAAATTGGCAAGTTTAACGTAGACCTTAATGGGACTGCATAAATAAACTGCTACTACTTACCTGAAACAAAAAACGACAAAGGCTCCAAAAAGGTAATCTCCATTAATAGATTGAAGGTGAAAAAGGCGACAAGGGCCAGAAGTTGATTTATGTCTTACCTAAGTTCATTAAATTTCCAATGTAAAGCACAACGCGTTGGCCACCACATTATCAGTGTGAAATGGATAATGAATCTATTAAAATCTATGAACCGATAGCTGTTTTGCTGAGAAAATTAAATTTTGCTGTGTCACTTTGATCTTTCATATCCAGGGAAGTGTTGGTTCGTGTTTTATACCAATGATTGGGACTCTGTAACGTTTCATGTTAGCTTTACCAAGCCCAAGCACTGGTACTAAGAGAGTTAGACATCTTTCAGTTTTCACTGCCTTGTGGTCTAGACTCAGGTCAACAACATGTTATGAAAATGAGAAACATTTAGTTCTATCAGTGCCTTTTGCTTCTACCTTTCCCGAGATTTAGTTTATCATGTGGAATAGCAGCCTCCCTTTTCCCACGGGCTACGTATGCAAGTAGGGGCATGGTCCCATGGTAATCAAATAATGATAATAACAGGATAAACAAGGTAGTTGGCACACACGTATTCATAACTGGCATCTAGCATGATTTTAGAGACTGACAATTTCAACACATGATGAAACATTAATGAGTTACAATTTTCAAGTTTGGAGATTTAATACTACTCTTTAAAAGTTGCCCAAAAGCTTTCCTATTCACTCTGGCATGCATGTACACTGAATTTTTAAGCAATTCTTATGTAAAAACCTTAAAAGCTTCCATGAAAATGCGAACTTTACAGTGTTTACACAAAATAAAACACTAGAGTGAGAACACAAAGAGGTAAATAAAACTACTAAAGGACTGCAATTTCACTCCAGAACACCGGAGATGGCAGATGATGATGACTTTGAATAGCGTTCAAGCAATGATAGTACTTTGGCAGCCTTTCTCCTGAGGTGACTTTCTCCATATATATTCATGCCAGTCAAACCAATAAGACGTGATCTAGCTGTTGTTCCATAGTATTCTACCATTTCCTTTGACACAAACACCTTCTCTAACAGTCCTAGAGCTTCTGCCTTGAGAGAATCAGTTCCCCAGTTCAAAATGTCCAATAAGGATCTTATTGTATTATTCTCATGCAAGACACGAGCTCCCCTTTGAGGAAATTCTTCCAAAACCAATGTGGAAAGTGTCTGTATTGCTTCATAAGCAGTTGCATGAACCTCCCCATGTAATAGCTTTATCAAGCCAGGTAAAGCCTTAGCCTCCAAAAGACAAAATGTGCTGTTCACACTGCATACACTCCCATGTGCTGGACACAAAGGAACACGTGATGATCTGAAAAGCCAGCAACCAGTTGGCTTCGGAATAACTGTGAGCTTTGGAGTGCTCATCGAAAGATCACCAATGAAAGCTGCTGCTCTTGCCTTTGCCGTGACCGAACCAGTGTTGAGAAAATCTACAAGCAAAGGGTATATTCCGCGTTTAACCAGATCTTGCTGTGACTCAATATCTGTAGGGTCTGTGAACCTGAAGAGTGCACTGAGAGCATTTTCTTTTGCTTCCATTTTGCCAGTTTTCAAAATGCTTATGATTGCGTCAAGTCCACCCAGCTCAATCACCTTCATAGTGAGTTCTCGTTCTGATTTTGGCAGGTTAGCAAGTAAACCAGCAGCAGCCATCTGTACATTATCATTCTCCTCATTCTCAAGAAATCCAATCAAGGCTTCAAGCCTTCTAGGCTTGAAGAGGTATTCAACTACTCCTTCTGGCTCGTGTTGAGAGAAAAGATAGAGTAGAATTATGGAGGTCTCTCTGATTTCTGAGTCGGGATCATCAAGAAGTGGAAGAATTAGAGATACGCCGTTGGCTGCAAGAATTGCTTTCTTAACCAAATCAGTCTCAAACTTGCAAATGCCAAGAAGTGCACGCAGTGCAGGCTTACGTATGTTAGGACCTAAGCTGAAACTCTGCAGCAAAGCTAGTAATTTGGTGATGATGGAATCTAACTCAATCTGTTTCCCCTCTCCATCAACGAAGAAACAAATTCCATCACCATTTGAAGAAAGCTTCTCAATGATTTCAGAGCATTTAATGATGATGAATGCCCGTGTCCGAGGAGAGAACATTAAATCTAGAATAAGAGGAACTCCTCCAGATGTAGCAATAATTCCTTTATTAGCATGAGATCCTGCTAATTTAATCAGGGCTGACAATGACAAGTCTTTTGATTCAGCGCTTCCCGACAGCATTTCTAGCAAAGGAGGTATAACTCCTTCGTTGCCAAGGAGTTTCAAGTTTGAAGCATTCAACTCCAAATTAACAATGGCTTTTGCCATTGATATTCTTGAATCTGGTCCTAGAAGATAAAGAAGAACAAATAACTCATTATGATCAACTCATACAAGTGCTCTTTCAGTCAAAAGGATTGTAAATCATATACAAACTATTTCATTGAAGTTCTAATAATCACCCATTTCATTTTTTCAACAAAAGAACTTTAAGCATACTAGTTAGCAACGTAGGATTATTCTGTATTTCCTTAGCTAGCTAGATGACATGACATCTTTGTCTTCTTCCACGGCAGGTGGGAAGGGCTAATTCTATGCGCATGCATACACATACACATATATATTCAATATAATGGAAAAATATTCATTATATCACATACAAGTTGAAAATAATCAATCTTCTTACCTTCAATCATGCGATCAACAAGAGGTTTATACCAGCCAAAATCAGCAGCAATAGTAATGGTTTCCTCGTTTAGTTCAAAAAGCTTCGTCAAAATCTTTTCGGCAACTTCGGTAGAATGGCTGGAAAGATTCTTTAGAAGGGCAACAAGGGACAAAACTGCAGTGCGATTTTCACAAAGCCTTTTACAGAGATATTGATTCCAACCAGATTGTTCTTGAAGCAGTTCATATAGCAGATCAATTGCTTCCTTGGAAATGCTAGAGTCACTCCCTAAGCAGGAAAGAACGTGATCCCATCCTCGAGATTCAGCCACTTTCTCCTATAAAATTTAATGAAAGTGTTAAATTTAAATTGATTTTTAGATTGCATGTACGATATGTTTGTAGTAATTAAAAGGAATTCGGATTATCTCAACGGTAAAATCGGTCCACTTTCTACTCAGGAAAGAACTGAGAGAAACTTCAAATGGTAACATGAAATAAAATCAATGAACCATGAGCAGCATATGACCTTTTAAGAACATCATGTTCGAAAAAATACAATCAAGAAAATATTTTCACACATTTGTCGTACCTATGTTTTTCCCATTTGTCCCTCTAAATCATAAATTGCAAATCCTCAAAGAAGTGTGTGGTTTGACTGAAGCAAGAAAAAGAAACAGTTTGCTTACCTTGTTTCTTGTATTCCCCTCAACAGCATCCTTCAAAGTTATCAAAATCTTCCTCTTTACTTCTTTGTCATCAGAGCTCCCGAGGATAGAGATAACATTATCAGTAAGCTCTCCTATAGAAATCCAATCCTTGTTAATAGAATTCTTTCTTACAAGATCCTGCATTTGGGTCAAGGATTCTTGCAGGTCAGAAGATGATAACAAATTTTCTCTGATAGACCTTATTATCAGACAATAATTAAGTTCTCTCCATTCTTCAATAGATTGTCTTAGAGGAATGTTAGACCTCAAGGTAGTATCTTCAAGAACAACTTTAGTTTCTGGGTCTTTCCTGTTGCCATCGTAAAACCAAGCTTCAATAGCATGTCTCTCACATGTAGTACCAGTGCAAAGGCTGACAGGATCTTCCATAACAGCTCCAGTAATAGAACAATGGAAAGAATTGAGTGGGGGGATATATTTTTCCCTTGAACCATATCTCTCTATCACCTTAACCCTTTCAAAGTATTGCCTCTCTACTTCTTCATAATCCCTTGCAGCATCAGCTCGAGAGAGTAACTGAATGATCTGATCCAAAAGAACACATTCAGCTCTTTCTTTTCTTTCAGAAGCTTCTTCTTTTTCCTTCCTAATGCTAGCCAACTCTTTGCTTATTTCTGAGGGTTCCACTGGCACCCCAACTGCCCTTGCTATCTCCTCTAACATGTCATTTGCAAAAGCCTGATCTAGTTTCTGTTCTCTAAGTCCCTGGTTTAACTTGTCAACAACTTGAATCTGGGACTGGGAAGCCTCAAACTCCACCCTTTGCATCTCATTTTGCAATCTATTGACCTGATCAGAAATTCTTGATAGGACTTCAGTATTTGCAATAGACAATGCATGTAGAGACTTTCCAATATCCCTTGTGACTTGTTCAACCTCCTCAACAATTGATCGACACTTAATCAATAAGTAAAAACGGCCACGGTTCCTATACTTTTCCACCAAATTATTTGCCTTCTTAACATCTGCTTCAAGAGACTCCAGAGCAACCCTTGCGGCTTGAGAGTCATTCAATTCTTGAAGCTGCAATTCCTTCAGCACTGGCTCAATATCAAATAGATGTTTTGAAAGGGCCTTGAAACTTTCTTTACCAACAAGAACATCAGATGCTGCTTGAGCTGTTTTCAAGATTTGTGAAGTTACCAATGTCAGAATTGTACCTATGGGAACGAGCTCCAACCCAGCCATGCTGAATTCTTTACTCAAACAATATAAACTGAACACTTTTCTATTGCCAGGAAGTTTGAACTAATGAACCTTCAAATTGTATCTCTTTTTCCCTGGAATCAAATTCCTCTAAATCAATCCTCTTATAAAGCACAACAAGTTTCTAAATTAATTCCAGAGCAGGCCATTTAACAGATTGAATAAAAGGATATTAACTAATGAATACCAATTCAACTATCTAGATCATTCTATATACAGCAAACATCATCCTCAAGCTTAATATAATGAGAGTATGTGATTTTAACTTGTAAAATTGAGCTTTTGGGTACTTCTTACAGTTAGATAGGAAAATAAAAAGTGAACTATGATATTCAATTCAAACTTCTAAAAGTGAAGTTGATCCAAAATGGTATGGTGTTTACAAAACTGACTCAACGAATTCTTATCCCATCCGCTGGAAAATACAAAAATATAAATCACAAGTAAAATTGCTTGGGTTGGGTATGTAATTCGTAATATTGGGCAGAAATTGTCCATAAATATTTCTCTCACTTTGGTTAGGGAAATAAACAAGGGCTTTAGGACCAAATAACCAAAAGCTTCAATTAGGGGGATTCTTTGATGGACATTCAAGTTATAAACATAAAGAAACAACTTCAGATAAATTACAAGACCATGACAATATGCACAGCAATCAAGGAGTTTATATACCAACAAGATACAAGCTGTCAACATATTCGAGAAAAAATAAGAAGTAGAGTAGATTTTCAGAATTTCTTGTGATTAGGATAAAATCAATTTCATATAGTAGCAGCAAGAATAAGAAAAAAGAGTGAAATGCATACCTTTTATACTGACTGAAGTTCGAAGCTAGTGTTAGATAGAACTCAGAAGTGAGAAGGAAAGTTGATTGTTACTGGTTTCCTTTCATTGGCATCAGACACAAAAGATATTTGAGAGGAGTTGAAGAAGTCAATATGGTGAGGAAAACACCAAGAAAGTTGCATTTTGCCATATCTTCATGTGTTGCTAATATGAGTTGGAAAATTGATGAATGCAGTGAGTGACAGTGACAAATTAATTTCCTGGAAAGTTAGCACCGTTATTACGCTTACGCAAAATGCGGTCCACAGCGTAGAAAACGCAGACACTTGATTTGATTTGGTCGTGTGAGATTACAAACGTTGAGTAGAGTTGACCTCAAAGTCTCTGCACTGCGAAAAACCACCGGTAAAAACAAAAACAGAACACTGTTTATGTTTTTTAAAAGTCCGCTAATTTAGTTAATAACCTTAAATAATTAACTTATGAAGAGAGTTAATAATATGAAATTTTCAATTTTTGAAATTAAACTCTTTAATTTTCTAGTTAGAGGGAGAAAGACACCGTCCATACTTATTTCACAAGTCTGAATTACCTAATAGTTATAATTAAGAAGGATAATTAATTTAATTGATAAAAAACAATTTATCATAAACATAATAATTTATCTCTTCTGAAGGAGATATATAAATCTCGGTAACGGGTGGAACAATATACCTAACAAACAATAAATAGTGGACTTTAAGCCTATCTCAATCCCACCAAACCAGTTTGTAAGGTGAGATTTGCACCTACTTATAAACTATGAATTGATCTTATATCTAGTCGATGTGACACTTCCAATAATTATGAAAGAAAACGATATCACCTCTAATTTGATACTGAAAAAGAAAGGATGATATCTATTTGCTATGAATTAAATTAATTACTAAGGAATTATTTAGTTTTAAAAAATATGACTTAGACGAAAGTAACATTGATACATTTATTTTAATAGCTGTTTTTAGTGTTGTTAAATGAAATCTTATATAGGTCTAACTCAGTAAATTAGTATAACCTTCTTTTTAAAGATTGACATAGAATTTTAACCGATAAAAAACATTCGAAAACACCACCAAATATATTATTAGCTTTTCTTGACAAGGTGTATTTTAGAACTTCTAATAACTTAATCAAGGCAATTTCAACCGGAATGTAAATTTAAAAATGTTGTGGTACAGGAAGCAATATAGAATGATGTAGGAAGCAACCCTCCTACAACGTGCTTTTTCACCACAAGTTGAAAGCCCAACAAGTGGATCACAGAAAGTAAGCCCAAAGCCCACTTCCATGCACAACAAAGTTGAAAGTTAAAAAAAAAATCAAAATAAACATTACAAAAATAACCACCTATCATATATTCTATCTAACTGTATTTGTTACAAAGAATAATAACTAAAATAAAGGTTTCAAAGATAATAACTAAATATTTAATCTCCTATTAAATCATATAAGTTAAATCTATTATGAAAATCTAAATTTGTTATTGGACTCGTTTAGGCCCAATCTTGGTCCGATCCTATGCACTTATATAGATTGAATCAATCAAACAATATGTACTTCCACCTTTTGTTCTGATGATCGAATTTTAGATCAGATTCAGGTCAAGATTAAAACAGTTATGTTAAGGTTAGTCTTGTACAGTTACCTACCTCTCACAAGTAAACAAAACGTGAGACATTAAAGTGAATTCATTTTTTTTGGTCATGCCTAAATTGTCTATTTAATGTTTCTTCTGCATGTTGGTCTTATCTTTCAACTTCAACCATGTCCATTGTTTAACCTAAGTGGCTGCATCAGTATGCAGTGATGAGTGACATCAGACATGACATAATATCTATGGCTCTCCTTCTAATGGACATTAACCTCGTAAAATAAAATCTTCTTGTTATTGACCGTCTCATCAAATAATTCCAACCATAAAAGCAGCAAGAAGGTACTGATTCTTCAATAACTTTTTTTTAATCAAGCGTACCTAAAACAAATCACTTTCTTTAATCAAGATATTTTACTCTTCTTGACGTGATTGTTGCTTCCAAAATCTTCACTTTCCATGACAAACATTTCATCTTGTAAAAGAAGTTACTTAGATGGTATCATTCAATTCTCCTATCCATTTCAGCCTTGGTTTCTATTTATAGACTGGTTTATTTATAAACAATTATTTTTCTAGAAAGAAATTAAACACAAAAATAATATATTAAAATACCTCACAATCGATTTGTTTTATTTTACCTTATTGTGAAAACTTAGTACGTTTTAAGTACTTTTGAAAAAGCGAATAAAAATATGAAGTATATTGTTAAGGAAGATCGTGCATATATTTTAATATTTAATGAAATACTAAACGGACTGCTCTCACTTGAAGTTCTAATGTTGATATTACGAACTTGTATTTCATTTTAACATTAACATGTGTCCGTAAACTTCATTAATTAGCACTTTATAATTGATTAAGTTTTGCATAAATTTCACTATCACTTTGTAATTGATAAATTTTTCAAATATTCTTACAATTGTATTAGTTTATTTTCTTAATCAACCCTTGAATCTTTTTATTAACTAAGTTCGAATGTTTTCTAGAACCTTATAAAACTCTTTTAAGTTTTTTAAATTCATGAAGTTAGTTTCAAATCTTTGAAATTCTTATCATTTAAATATATTAATATCCAGACGGGAAACTTTTAAACATAAAAAAATCCTTTTGAAAAAGAAAAAAAAAACCATGTTACAAATGATGCTTAGTATACACTTATTTGGAAGTAGTTAAATATTAACTTTTGTTTTATAATCCAGTACTTAAATAACAAATAATACTTAATTTAATAAATATTTTCATTTATAGGATAAACAAGTCTAATATGTTGATTCATTAAATTCATTTCATAACAACTGTCTTTTTATGTATATTTTTAAACAGAACAACTTTTTACATATTATTAAAACAGAATTTTTGACACAGTTTATATTTATTGAAAACATTCATAACTCAAATTTGCCTTTGTGTGATTTTATCCAAAGATTTATCAAATTGTTTCTAAGCACCTTTTTAATCAATTTTAATTTTTTTAATATTTTTATTTGTTGTTTAACTTTATCATATATATAAAATACTATTTTGTTAATTTTTTTATAATTAATTTTATTTTCTAATTTATTTTAATAAGTGACTAGTATAAAAATACCGTTTGAGATCAAGGGTATACCCGCAAATGTTAAATTGATGTTAAATTTAAAAAATTCGACTTTAATTTACATTAATTTACGTTGAACCCTAGTACAAATTGACGTTCAATATTGCTTTATGTCCTATGTGAATTAACTTTTTTGTTTTTTTTTAATTAATTGTGATCCTTTGTGATCTTTTTTTACAACTCTACGGTGAAAAGTAGAAAAACAACAAATGTAATATAGTTTATGGTATTTTATAAAGTGTAGCATAGTATCAACAACAAACAACAACAATAAACAACAACAAACAAGTTCAACAAATAAGTTCTTAAAAACGAAAACTAAAATTCAAAAGGTGGGTTACGTGTAATGGTCGTCAAACTTCGTTCGAGAAAAGTTTGATCAGAGAAGAGGGTCTTGCACGCTAAGATAAAGTGAATGAATTTTCAACGTCTCGCTCAAATTTTTATTGAATTCACTAACCTTTTGACGTCTAGTTCTAGGACATTTGACGTCTAATTCTAGGATATTTGACGTCATATGTAAGTGCATTTTACCTTCGTGCCAAACATTTTTGCTAAATTTATTTAATAGGACGTTGAATTTCTTAATATTCGACGTCTTATAACAAATTGACATTGAATTACTGTCATAAACGATGTCCAATAATTACATTTGTTTATAGAAATATCACCGACCATTTTTAATCTTGAAGGACTTTATACGTTGTTTTGTGCCGGTGTAAAATTTTATTACAACAATCTTATAAAGATGTTTTATTTATTATAATATAATATTTTAATTTAATGTAATTATCATAAATTTTGTGTCATTCAATATATATTGAAATTCAAAGAATAAAATATTTAAATTTAATTTTAAAATATTATTAGTTTAATGTTTTGTACCTTAATTTCGTTCAGTGAGATTTGATTACAATTTAGAAAAATAAAATAAAGAGATTTGAAATATTTTAAAACATATTTATTTTCTTTTTATAATAGTTCTTAGTTTGATCTTTAAAAAGACACAAATTATTAAAATAATATAGTACGTGATAATTCATTAAACAATAAACAAACATGAAAAGAAAAATCAAACAACCCATTTTTAGTCCTATATATTAATTAAAAATCTAACGGTGGGAAGGTGTTTATGATCAAGTTACTAATCGTGCTTTGGGGCCATTTCATATCTCTTCTACTTCACTGTATGAAATTAATTTTAATCAACATATCATACAAAGAACACTTATTTTATAGAAACGTGTTGAGTTGAATAAGAATAAATAGACAAGTCCGTTGTGATGAAGGTTGTCGCTAGTGATATCTGGGAGCCATTTATACCTGAAGCCAATAAACGACAGTTCTGGAAAAAACATAGACAAACAAACTAAGATATAAATCAAATGGCTGTTATGTTTCTTAATAAATTATGTGCTGCTACAATCACAAAGCTTAAATTCATCCACACACATTTTTTTTGCAAAACGGCAAAGAGTATCTCCCTTCATTTTTATACTTTAGGTGAATGCCAAGAAATCTGGTATTTTGACTAACGGTTAAAGAAAAAAAAACAGTGAAAACATGTAATATCATGTAATTATTGCATGTCTTGTCGACAATTCTTCCTACCTATCTCTATCAATAATTGTTACAAATCAGTTTTTCCACTCGTATTATCTTAGCACGGTTTTCCCTTCCAGTGTTGCTTTTCTCTGCCGTCTCATATTTACATTTGGTTGATGCGAAAAAAAAGTGTATTAACATCTAGTATATTTTTAAAAAGAATAAATGGTTATATTAACAAGAAAAGATAAAAAGAAAAAAAAATTATATACAATGGATGTATACCGAGTTAAGATGTATTTGTATTATTCTTCATTATCCAAATATATAATCATTCAATCTAATTCACTATAAGTTGGAATTAAATTTTTAAAAATTGATTAAACTAAATCTGAGTTACTTAATCCATAAATTAAATAGATCTAAGAGAGTTCAAAGTGAATTAATATTTTATTTTTTAATTACTATACTCACAGTAATGTTTGATAAAATATATCAAACTAATAATTCATTCAATCTATTTCAATCATATTATAATAAATATATAAAATAAATTTAAAAAATAAATATCCTAAGTAAGTGAACTTACTTGACCAATCAATTCAAGTTAAGTTAGATTATAAA